GGTAAGCCAGCACGCTGGCTGCCATTGTCCAGATGGCAAAGCCAGCACGCTGGCTGCCATCATAGTTGAAATGGGTGAGCCAGCACGCAGGCTGCCATTGTCCCCTTACCAGCAGCCCAAATGCTCACGACGATGAGCTGGGCTGTCACCGCTTGGCCGCTGGTGGGGGGTTTGGGAGGCCGCGTCGCACACAGACACCCACACACTCCCTCAACTTCCACGAACACACACATACGCAGACTCGTTTCCACACGGACATAGACACACGCACAGAAACCCACACACTACCTCAACTCACTCGACTTAACACTTCTCACTACACACTTACCGGATAACTCGCACTCTGATTTCCTACGTGATGAAAAATGCTTTCGGGCCACTCGTCGTCTAGTTTTTTTGACAACCTGAAACTGTCTGACCATGAAGAGTTGACCCTTGTGTCCAGCATGAGCAACTAGTTCGATGCGAAGGAACTTTCACAAGCCGCACTGCGGCAAAACAGGCCCGCCCGTGGAACATCACAGACTTGCAGTGGGGACAAGCCAAGTTGGAAGGAAAGCGGACAGTGTTGGGGAGCTCGTCACAACACCGTGCACACGACGGACCTCCTTGAGCCCAGCGAGGGTGAGTCGGCAGCGGGTGACGAGGACCTCGTCTCTGAGGAGCTGGCGGTGGAGGTCCATGAAACTACATGGCATACCAAAATGCAAAATCGCGATGTTGAGAAGCTCGCGAAGGACGTGGAGCACACATCGAGGAGATCAAAAACAGGTCCGAAGAGCGGCTGAAACTAGCAAAGCCGGTTGTTCCGTGCCGCGTGCAAGCAAAAAAGCCATTGGCACAAAGATGCGTGCACTATGACCTGGTCGCCCCAAAAAATCAAGTTGAGTGCATTAAATCTTGAAACTAATTTGGTTTTCCATGCTTTAGGCTCTAGGGTTGAAGCGGTTGCAACTGGAATGACATGGCTGCGGATGAACTCTGTTTGTCTCAATCAAAAATTCACGTGCTACTTGTGCATGTTTACACCAGCAAAAAACACCCAGCACCTCCAGGAACATGTGAAGACTCCGGCGTGACTTGCACCTGTTTGGAAAGGTGCACGGGGAACAAGCCTTTCCTGACATGTGAAGAAACAGCAGCTTCGCTCATGTATGCTCGCGCAGGTGGCAGGTGTGTCTAGCCGTGTGCTCCAACAACCGGGTCGACAAAGGCATGATCCATACAGGCCAAGCTGATGAAGAATTGGCGACTCTAGAACAAAAAGAAAAAACCAAACGGCCATCAGATGCTTGTCATGGCCTTGAATGGCAAAGCGAACCAGGCCCGACATCCAACTCGAAGTATGTCAATGCCAAAGAAAGCAACAAGATCCAAAATCCAAATTTAAAGGAGAGGTGCCATTCCAAAAAGCGCACGCCTTTTGTGAGCCACCCGGCGGCAAAATTTAGAGGAGGGGCAAAACTTAGATGAGAGAGGAAAGATGTGCCAATCCCGGCGCATGCCTTTTTTGGAAATTCTATAGAAGGGGAAGGTGCCATTCCAACGTGCGTACTTTAGTGAGCCACCCGAGGGTCTCAAAAGGCGCACGCCAATTGAACCTTGAGGGCAAAATTGAGGGATCGGACATCAACAAGGTGGTCAACAAATGAATACGACTTCACCGCGTACCAGAAGATGAGATGTGCATCCTTGGCTTCCCTAGGTGAATTTGCTTCGCTGAGGTGCATCTGAGCAGACTGCACAGTTCTCACTACTTCTGCTCTTCTTTGCATCTTCTTGTTTAGGTGCCGGTTGGCTTAGACCTTGCATCGCGCCTGGATAGTCAAAAAAAAGTGCGTCCTTGGCATGGGGCAATGTGGGAGCTGCTGAAGACGAACAAGAAGAACATGACCGAGACGGGTACGGTGATCACACGGTCGCCTCACAGCTGGCGAGCCTCATTTTGACGATGCCTTTCCTCGCAAGGAGGGAACTTCAGTTTAGTGGGTTTGAAGAACAAGGCACCATCCCGTGCCTGCAGGTCAATATTTGCTGGCGAAACGATGGCGGGGTGTGATGCCTTTAGGTATATATGCGTGGTTTTTCCTGTCCATGAGAATGAGGGTGGATCCAAGAAAGCGAGGAACGGTCATGGACCTCCATCTGGCTTCCCAGGGCTCCTACACAGAAAAGGCTGGCCATCGGTTTGGCGGGGCTGAGGCGCCAAGAAATGCCCAGGCCCACAGACACCAGTGAAACCACCTTTGCACTGGGTGCCTACGTCGGACCAGATGACCAGGCAGCTAAAAGCTGCGACGTGGTGGGGCACCATCACAAAAGAGCACCTAGCACTACCATTGAAAATCTAAGCACAGCCCAGTGAGACACCACCCCCTAACCGTCAAAACTGGGGGGGTCCTCTTAATGTGTAACTTACATATTTGGGGGGGGGGGCAAAAATGCAAGCTGACCCACCCAGGCAAAAATTGATATTATGTTGAGGGGGGGGCCGCCCAGGAATTACTACGGAACCTCCAGAACTACAGTCAACGATGGTCCCCCACCCCAAGATTTGGCGTTGTACGGGAGAATCTCCAGGTAAGATTCATAACATGCCCAGGAATGACTGAGACAATAAACATGCAGCGTACAACGGTACAAAAAAACAGATGGGGGGAGGGGGGGCAAAATGTAAAATGCATTCTCTGAGGCCCCCCCCACTTCAAATCCTATAATTTGAGGGTGGGGTGATCAAATGTAACTTTGAAAAGGAAAGAGACAGAAGAACAGGCACGTGTCCATGGATTTGTTTTGCAGTAGAGTAGAAGAGAAGCAATAGCAATAAAAAAAGTAAAGGATGATATGCACACATGCTGTGGCTTCTTGCCACTTTGCGCGCAACATCGCAAAGTTTCGGGCTCCGCGAGCAGTGTGAGGAGTTTGTGTATCTTGGCCTGTAGGGTGGGACAATGGCATTAGGGGTGGCCAGACACCTGGAACGAGAGCTTGACACCTTCATTGCAAAAAATGATTGCTTGTTTTCACGCTTTTTCATATGCTTCACATCATCAGCATTCAGTGCACATATCTCCCAGCCTGAATAAATGTAACTTACATCTTCTTAAAACATGTAAGCTGAAGAAAGGGGAGCTTCCCATGTTGGCTCATATGCATACCTTAAATTGTAATATGCAAATTTTAAAGTGCGCCCTCGGTCTACCTTTAAAAATGTAATATTACACATTTTAAGGTCAAAACCATTGGACAATGTAAGTTACACATTAAGAGGCCCCCCTGCAAAGGGGCGGTGGTACAGGAAAGAGTTTTTGTACCAATGTGAAAGCGACACGTCGGTTGCTCGTATGTTCCCGGTCAGATTTGTGCAGTTGCGTGCCGAAACCTTATTCAGGCACAAGAGTTCGAAGCACTGTGCGGAAAGCCATGTGCTTTGCAGCATGTCATGTCGTTCGCGTTGAATCGTTTCTACAGACAGTTCAGCTCTGCATGCCAAGCAGGAGGGAAAAGAGATAACACATTCAATATTCAAGTCTATGTTTCATGTGCGTGTGCAGCACCCAATTCACCACAGACCCTGTGAGCCTGCCAAAAGAATTCAGGAACTTTTGGTTTCCCAAAATTTGAACACGTAAAAAAAGAGGGCATCCGCGCCCTCCGAATGATCCAGGAGGGTGTGGGTGGACCTCCTTGTGCCATGGGTTGTGTGAGTAAGTGTGTGCACACGGTGGATCACATGTTCAACCTCAAAAATGCAATTCACTAAGACCGTCAAATGGTTGCTCACACTCCACGGTGCTGTTTCGGTTCATTCACATGTTTCAGGCCAAAACTTGAATTCAATAGAGTAAACAATGAACTCAAAACAAGACTGTGCGACCCTAACACTCAACCTCACGACAACTGAAAACTCAACAACTTTGAAATCGTCAAAGCACTTAGCTTGAAAAGAGTCTGTGCAAAGATTCAACATAAAGGTTGCTGAGTCTATGTTGCCTGTGCGCATGGATGATGGCTCCCAAGGGTCTTTGGAGAGCTCCGATGCAAAGGTTGCTTGCCGTGGATGCTTTTCAGTCAATGCAGTCACATCCACCATTTTGACAAAAGTGTCCAATGCAAATGCCCGTCTTCTGGCGTGGCGACGAGAAGGGCAGCCAACAGAGCGCCATTTTTGCGAGTTTTGTGACTTGATGCTGGGCAATCCGCATCCTGACGAAATGTCACAATCTGTGGACCATCGTGTTTGCATAGAAGAACTTTCCTTTGACATTTTGCACAAACTGATCTCAAGACAGTTCCATGATGATCCTGGAGGTTCTGGAAACATAAATGGAGCAGTGCAAGGAGGACAAATACAAACTAGAGCGTTAATCTTTCATATGCAGCCTTACCTGGAGGATTTGCTGATTCGGCGGCAAGGTTTTCGCCACCTGGTGGATGTCCTTGCTACTGTTGCAGAAGCAGACGACGCTGTTCCAAATATACTGTCAGAGTTGACTCCGAAGGATCTGTTTATAGCCCTGTTGCTAGCGACTCCCAGCCACCGAAAACGAATACGCCTGGCCACTGCATATTTGAGCTTGAAAGCACCGTTGCCACTGGTTTTCCGTCATCCGGAACAGATGCCCGCGAGAAGCAGCACTTGCAAGGCTAAAGTGACGGCTGCTTTCGATCTGTTGCATGAAATTGCCTGTGTTCCCCGAGAAGGTCGGCTCGTCATAGTTAGTTTGGGCACCGAGCAGGTACTTGCCAGTGGCAAGACAAGTTTGCTTGGTGCCATGGGCTTAGCGCCAGTATTGGAGGAGTTGGATGTGAGACCATCTGGTCCCATGCACAATTTTTCTTGTGACCTATCCTGCTCAGATTCTGATCTTTGGTTGCTGGATGTTCATGGAACGCTTGAAGACGAACATTTACGAAATGCTGTGCTCGCGGTTGCCCTGTGGGGTTCTGCAGTGTGTTTGGTTCATTGCTCTGTGAATGATTTCCATTCTACCGGAGTTCCGCGAAAAAAATTGGCAGGAATCATAGGTGATTTGGAAAGTCAATTGCTGATTAATGCACAAGTTGTCAAAGGCAGTGGTGTGGTGGTGCTTATCCGGGATGTAAATGCTGATGCCTTTGCTCCAAAGCGGCAAACGATTGAAAGTGCTCTTGAACACTTGGGTGTTCTTGCGGTGTTTTGTGTAGAGGACTGCCGAAACTTCAGGTCTGCAACGAGACGTGCTGCAACGATGGAAAGGTTACGAGCCCGCCTGGAAGATACCTGGAAAAACTTGTTTCCAGGAACTTCTTGCTTGGAAGATTTGCAGCGGGTGCATGGGCTGTTAATGGAAGGGCAGGTGCGCCGTGAGGTCCACAAGGAGATTGGAGAAAAAACATTTGGATCCTCAGAGTTGGGCAAGGAACTTACCAATCTTCTCGACCGAGCTTCCGAATCCTCACTCTACGAATCGCTTTTCCCCTTGACGGCCATCAAGAGGCCCACGTGAAGTTTATCAGGGCTTCTGTTATGCAAATGTTGGAGTTAGATGACAATAAGCTTGTACTTGTAATCAACAACACTTTGACAACAATCTTGTCAGCAATTTTTTTGTTTGTCTTTGGAGCTGCTTTTAAGCCTCACTTTCTTTTGCGACATTATGCGAATGCTTTCAAGAGGGGCTGCTCAGTTTCACCCGGTGCATAGTGTGTTTACATGCATGTTTGCACACATGACAGATGCATCTCTTGCCTTGTTGCCTGAGATGCACGCTCTTTGTTTGTGTTAGCTTTGTCCGGTTGGCCCATGGCCTTGTCCAATGGCTCCAATTCTTGTGCAGAAGCTTTCGGCATTTGCCATTCTTTTCGAAGAGTTCTTAAGATTCGCTTCAAAATGAGCTTGCCATGATTCCTATCATTATCATTGTCACTGCCTGAGCTCGATACGGTTTGGTGTCTCATGTTTCTGGCCGGCATGTCAGGTCAGTGAGCCTTCGTAGTTCCCTTGGCGCTTGCAAGTCCTCTTGTGCGTCTCTGCTCATGCTTGACTCCAGATGTGTGTACCTGCTTGTTTCCTTCTTTCTTCCCTTCCTTCCCTTCCCTTCCCTTCCCTTCCCTTCCCTTCCCTTCCCTTCCC